AAGAGTGTCGCTTGGGCGTCCGGAATCCCACGGCACCGCGACGCGCGCGTCAAAACCACACAAACGGCAACTGTAAGATGTAACTAATAGAGCTGCAATTTTAGAAGGGCCGAAGAAAAGGATACCTGATATAGTTATTTCCTTCACCCATTTAATGTTTATTTGTAGATTTCTCGCAAAAAAAGCTATATTTATATTGCATTTAATTTTCTCGCGAAATATCGTTGCACAGGGATTGAAAAAGTAGATGACGTCTCTTAGTTTTAGCAATGATCGTAATTTCATATCGGAATTCCAAAATCTACAACGGCAGCGACAAATGCTCGACGAGCAGTCAAATGAATTTTGATTCTTCGTTCCGAGGAATGAAATTCGCTGATTCGGCAATTTATCGACGTGGAAGCACCGAATAAAAACAAGGCTGCAGTCTGGCTGGTGAATTGGAGTTACTTGAGAATACGGTATCTGATTTTTGTGAGATTGGTGAGATTGGTCGCGTTACGTGACGTACGCTACGTTAGACAGTACCGTGAAAGCGTCCGCCTCTCGCGATAAAGTGAAATGTAATTGAGCAACCGGGAAAAAGTGTACGCTGCGAGAGAGCGTCTTACCGTTCTACACCTCTCACAGATATACGAATGATAACGGCATCGTACCTCTAGAGGAAACGATACTGACGAAAGAGAGCAAATTCATTTAGCGACAAGCAGTTCTCAATAATATTCGGGGATATACTTAATTATCAAAGCGTTATAAGAAATCGCCGTAAGCTGTTAAAATAAAATTATAGCTACCACAATAAGTTTGGATTACCTTAAATAAATGTTTCGAAAGTGCCGGCTATGCATCGAACCAATCTGTCAATTAAATTTCATCCATCGAGAATGTAAATCAATTTTACAGATTAGATTATTGCTTCGTTTACCGAGATTATCTGTAACCTCATGACCAGTTTAATCAAGACATTCCAGCGCGAGTAAATCGCAGGATATTCCCAGAATATATCCAGTGCAGGCTCGATAGGGTGTGCACGATGACGTAGTGCTGTGTAATAGCGAATTTGGTTGGATGAGGTATAGTGCGCACTAGGGCACGTTAAAGGCTATCGTATACAAATCGACGTAAAGGTACACAACAAAACGAGTTAGAGGGGCTCGGTACAATCCGTCGCATTGTTTGGGAGAATGTACGCGCTCAGCATTTCGTCAATCACGGTATTTATATCGTGCTTTTAAGTCCAGATGCATTGTAGTGTACGACAGGCTTTAATCTACAGCAGAGAGAGAGAGAGAGAGAGAGAGAGAGAGAGAGAGAGAGAGCGCTAGTGCATCCAATCGAATTCGCCGTGAGTAATTCAGCACGTTATCGGACAGCTTTAAAGTAGCGTATCAGACGTGGAAGCCTGAGGGCGAGGCGAGAGAAAGAGAGACAGAGAAAGAGAGAGAGAAAGAGAGAGGGACTCTCATGAGTTTCGTTTTGCCGAATTCCACGGCGAGAAGACGCGGATAGAAAATTGCGGAAGTGTTACCGACCGAAGAGGCGAACGGCCCCTCTCTTTCTCCTCTCTCTTTCTCTCTTTCTTTCACTTCGGGCTTGGCAAAGCTCCGGAAACTGGATCGAAGCGCCGTTGCACCAACGAGGAGCGTCGACGGACGAAACGGCGGCAACGGCGTCAGCCACACAGGCACTGCTGCATGCGCGTATATACATAATTAGACGCAATTAAGCGTCCGCCTTATCTGCACACGACGAGATCTTTTTCTCCGTTTCTTTTTTTCTCCTATTTTCTCTCTTACTCCTCAAGCATGCCGCGCCCGAGATCTCTCGCGGTTTTTCCACCTCGCCATGGAGATAAATCCCACCGACCAATAAACCCCGCGTTTCAGTGGGCCGCCGCGGTAAATTCTTCGCACAGTGGGTTGCCGCGTGCAAAACGACCAATCCGCGTGACTAGAAGCTCGAAAGTCAATTTTCCAGGAATAAGGATAAGAAAGTAGAATTTACGGGCTGAATATAGGACAGTTTCGCGGTGACGTTATTACGGTTCTCCGTACACGGTTAACGTGTAGTGTAGCAAAATTATTGTAACTGTACCTTTCTTGATCTTCTTCGAGAACAACGCTTGGAAAATATAAGAAATATCCAGAAGAAACGTTTGATGAATTAATATGTAAATCTCAGTACAGACGGTTGGAAGTGAAAACTTGAAAGGCATGAAAAATCTATATTTAATTTCATCCAGATCCCTACATTTCACGCTGAATAAGCAACGACAAAAGCAAAGTCCACCGAGACGCATTCCGACGCAGAGCTTATCGATCGCGCTTCGTTTATCGGTTAAATCGCGTCGACTCCTCGATCGGTGAGAGATTGTACCTCGATGCCTCCGGTTAACTTAATCCTTTCGACTGTTCGTGGACTCTACCTGAGGGACATCTCTCGCGCTTACGGGACGCCAGGTCCGTCGGGCTAATCCGTTTGGACGTACTCACCTTGTTGTGCGGCGGCTGCGTGGGCACGTAGAGCGGTGGATCCAAGCCTGGACTCGTGACGGCGTGACGTCCAATAATCCTGTCGGCCGCTTTCGCGTCGTAACCTTCCGGCTGACCGATGTGGAAGCCCTTGCTCTTGACCCAGAAGCGGAATTTGCTGTTTTCGGCGCTGTTCACTTCCTCGCCCCGTAAAGTCCGCAAAATACGCGCGTACTTCTTGATGGTGATCGTTTTAGTCTTGGCAAGATCACCGTACGTCTTGATCACCCACGGCTGATAAGTATTGAACATGGAGTCGTTTTGAAATTTCCTTGGTGACGCGGCGGCTCCGTCGACTCCCTTCGGGCCCTTTTGCATACCATACGCGCCGCCATTCATATTCGGTGATGACATCGTCGAATACGACATCGCTATTCCGCTCTTTGTGTCCACTGTGGCAGTACCGCTCGCTGCGTATCCACCGTTTAACGAGTTCGCGGCGCCGGAAGCGGCTAAGGAACCACCGGTCATGTTGGAGATGTCGAGGTACGAGACGGACGAGCTCTTGCCGAGGTTTGTGGCGTTGCCGACGAAGGTCGCCATGGTGGTCGACATGTAGGGAATCGGCGTAGGTGGCATGGCGAGGCTTCCAGCGCACAGGCCAGCCGTTTGTGCACCCGTCAAGCCCAGCCCGGTTACGGAAGCGTACGATGGCACATCCGACATATTCGACGTGGTCGGCCAGCTAGTCGAGAGTACGGAACCGTTCGATATATCGCTCGTCGAGGAGGAGGCCGTGTTGGCAGCCGTCGAAGTGGACGATGATTTGGTCTGTGTAGCCGATCTTGAGACGGAAGTACCGCGACTCTTCGAAATCGGGCTGTCGGTTGAGATACTCGTGGTCGTTGAAATCGAGGATGCCGAGTTGGAGGAAGTGGGGCAGCCACTGTTCTTCCCTCCGCTCGTCGAGGTCCCGCGAGATTTCTTCGTCGGTGGCTCGTCCCGAGTGTTGTTCATCGAGTTCAAATTGCCGTGGGACGGGCTGTTGTTGTTCTCGCTTCTCGAGCGCTTGCTCGACGCTCCAGTCGTCGTGGACAGTGATTGGCTTGACGGAGTCGGTGAACTGTTCACCGGTGCTCTGCGACGCAGACCCATCGTTATCGCGCTAGCCATATTGTGCGTGTTTACGTGTCGCAATCGAGCTGTTCACCGTTATCCTACGACCAGCACATCGACCCTGCCCAGCACACTTTAAGCACAAGATCATACAAGATCACACTGTAAGGATCATCCACGGTCACTCGTAACACTGCGACGTTCGTACGAGATTTAATGAGTCACTTCCGGCGACGATGGTCCGTCGTCCAAGTATCGTCCAAGAAACGACTCGACGTTTTTCTTCGGGAACGACGATGACGCCACGGCAAGGTGATGTTGCGTCCCTGGAAACAAAAGAGGGATGAAATGTGATGAGAAGAATTAGCTATGCGCAATTAAGTGGCGGAAACGTTTAAGCGCGAGGGGCGCCGCTAATGGACTAGCCGAGTGGGTGGAGACTATCGCCAGTGGGAGAAGTAAATTATAGCTGCTCGGGGATATAATACGTAACAGAAATTCACTCGGGAAATTGACTCTCGGCGCCTTCCACCTTCTGTCCGATAATAGAGACGCGGCGTGGCAAAATTCTCGCTTTGAAAATCCTCCGTTTTAAGAGATCTGATCGTTCTCTCCTCCTTCGAGCTTGTATATCGGAGAATCGTAGACTCCGTTAACAGCGAGCTTGGTCATTTATTTTGAGAGCAGCGTAAGCAAGAAATTTCACTGAAATTAGTAGGGTTGGATTGCATTTTTTGCATCCATTTCGTTTCGAAATCAGCATCCAGGGTTAATAAAATTTGTGCTTAGAGACTTAATCTTCGAGCGCCCCAATCTAGTCTCCCTCTCTACTCTGTAATGAATACAACTCTTTTTGCATACATCTGACTAGAATCATAAATACACCGACAAGATACTATTAATAGTATTTTATCAATAACAAATATCACGTTAATCATGTCATTAATCATATCTTGTTAAGAAGACGGCAGCGTCAAGTACGCATATTGTTAACACATTATCTATTTCAATGATTTGAATACAAAATCGTACTACAGATGCGATTGATTAAATTAAATAATTTCTAATTTCTTCATTGTTTTTAAAAAGCTGTAACGCTCAATGCGGAAAGAACGATTTTTAAAGTATTTAAAAACTTAACTAAATACAGATTTGAAAATAATTTTATTACATTATCAAAATAATTATACGAGATCAAGAGACGCAAAAAAATATTTTGCTGCTCCAGCTAGAATTATAGCTGTTTTTTTGTATCTGATAGAAAATTATGTATCATACGCATAGAATTTATAGCACAAATCTAAATTCTATCTCTGTCATCTATATGATTAAATGCAATACATATCCAATATCGTAGTATTTGCTAGAAATTTATCTATTTTAGCTATTTTTCGTACTTAGATAATTTTCACTATAACTGCAAGATCATTTTTTTGAGTGATGATCAAGTTAGTTGCTAGACTGTCAAAATTTGCAGTATTGCTCGTCATGCTTAAGTTTC